GCCTTAGCCACTTAAGCCCCAGGCACTGAGCCACTTTCTTCTTTTTCTTTCTTTATTCACTTCACAAAGTACACTGTGACAAATAAATAAAAAACTACCTTATTCTTTTTAATACTTACATAGTATTCCATTATAGTTAACCAGTCCCTTTTGAGAGGTATTTAAATTATTTCAACTATTTTGTTACAACCAGTTTTGCAATGAATATCCTTGTAGGTAGTTTCTACCCAAATGTGTAACTATAGAATAAATTCTTAGATGTAGAATTGCCCAAAGAGTATGTGCATTTTTAAATTTTGGTAGCTAATTGACAAACTTTCCTCCATAAAGATTGTACCTATTTATAAATCTCACCAACAATATGCCTGATTTCCAAGATACTATTTTTAATCATATATTTCATCTAGAGATACTAAAACATTTTTGATGTAATTCTTCCATCTTTGCTTAAACATATGAATGGGAAACTGAGCCTGATTTTATTAGAAATGGGTTTATTATAACTAAGAAAATGCTGTGAAAGCTATGTTAACCAGTTTGATGAAAATATTTCAAATTGCATATAAAACCAGCACATTGTACCCCATGATTATATTAATGTACATAGCTATGATTTAATAAAAAAAAAAAAGAAATGGGTTTATTCACTCACCAAACCTTTATATAGTACACACTCTATGCCTGTTTGTTGCATGTATACAAATGAGTTGATGGAAACATATCATAATAAAACATGAACAGAAATTTAGTAGCAGTGTAAACTCAGAGGAAGTAACTTATGTTCTGGGGAAATGAGGAGAATATCACAGAAAAGGTGATATTTGAGAAAGGATAAAAATTTACTTATAAAGAAGGGAGTTAATTACAGACATCATAAAATGAACACTTTGTGCAAAAAAAAATATAAAGCACAGAAGTCTCTGACATGTATGAAATGCTGAGTATATGTAGAGTCTGGGGTATATGGGGGAAGAAAAAAACAGGAGAAAACATTATGGAAAATGAGGCTGCAACCATGGGAAAGACTTATCTTTAAGGTATTTAAGGGCCAATGTACATTGTTATACAGATAATATTTGGGTTTTGGGCTCATTTTTAGACACATAGGGGATGAACTGGAAAGAAGTGATGACCAAGAAATGACTTTAAAGGAGTTGTGGTAGTTTAGATGAAAGATGATGAGGACCTGAAGTAGATGGCAGTGGGGATTGGTAAAGGAGGGTGGAATTGAGAGCTTGTTTAATAGTAAAATCAAAAGGATTTGGTGAATGTGGGAAGAGGAAAGGGTAATACTATAGTTGACTCCAAACTTGGGAAACTGGACACTACCGTGATTAGAAAAAAATTAAGGAAAATGAATGGTTTTTAGTAAGCCAAGAATAGATTCTATTTCATACACTTGAAGATTATTATGTCTAGGAAACAGCCAGGTAGAGATAAGAAGCATGTAACTGAAGTATGGGTCTGAGGCAAAAGAGAGATTTGGGCCAGAAATAAAAAAATGTTGAGGCATCAACATGTAGAAGGTTCTTCAAGCAGTAAGATAAACAAGGGTAGAATAGAAAAGGAAAATGCCAGAGACAGAACCCTGGGGAGTACTAGGGGTGTATAAGGTGGGGCCTAAGAACCCAGTAAACTTCTCAAATGTAAGATGCTTTGGGTGCTTTGGGTCTTATTTTATTTGATTGTATCTAGAGTTTTCATTGATAATTTTTTACTCACAGTAAAGGTCAGAAGATCTCCTTGAATTTGATTTCAAAAGTCAAAAACATGATGAAAATATTCCAAATTGTATATGAAAACACTACACTGTACCCCGTGTTTGCATTAATGTACACAGCTATCATTTAATTAAAAAATAATAAAATTAAAAAATGCTAAAAAAAAAAGTCAAAAACAATTCATCTCATATCTTCGAAATTTCTGATTTATTCTGGTCAGTTTAAAATGTATGCTTAAGGTGCTATCCTCTCTCTCTCTCAGTAGTTAGTCCCTCCCTCACCCTCACTCCTACCCAACCTCCCCACAATAAATAATAAAATGTGTGTAAAAATATTAGTAGAAGATATACCTGCTCATTTTTAAGTTGTATTTGTTAATTATAAATATATTTATGGGCTCGGTGCCTATGGCTCAAGAGGCTAAGGCATCAGCCACATACACCTGAGCTGGTGGCTTCAAATCCAGCCTGGGCCAGCCAAACAACAATGGCAGCTACAACCAAAAAATAGCCGGGCGTTGTGGCGGGCGCCTGTGGTCCAAGCTACTTGGGAGGTGGGGGCAGGAGACTCGCTTGAGCCCAGGAGTTGGAGGTTGCTGTGAGCTGTGATGCCATGGCACTCTACCCAGGGTGACAGCTTGAGGCTCTGTCTCAAAAATAAATAAATAAATTTATGTAAGCTATGAGAAATGTGAAAAAATACGGGAAGATAAATATGCACTGATTCTTAAATAAAGGTAAGAACTGACAAAAAAAAAAAGATATGCCTGCTTGATTTGA